AATTGTATTTAGTTTAATATAGTTTGAAACCTAGTAATTTCCATCGAAGTTTACAGATGGCTCCGTCGTCAGCATAATATAGTATTTTTAAATCCTAATAATAGATCCTTCACCCCAATCAAATACTGGCATGCCCAACCACTCCTCAATCGCCACCAATTTCTCTGATATCTCCCGTCTAAACCGTTATCTCAACCAAATTGCCGCGGAAGCTCCACCAGGTTCGTCCACCTTTGTGTTCCTCACGACGCTGTCGCCCAGGTGAAACGACATACAGCACGTACATGGAAATAGCGACTTGATGAAAACATCGACACCCGCTTCCAACAACATCCTGTAATATTCGGTCTCTTAAGGCGATATTAACGTCTTTGAGTAGTTAAACGTAATAAAGTCGTCTAAAGCTCAAATGAAATTTAAGCAAAACAAACGTAATTAGTCTTTTAGTAAAGTTAGGTTTGCCTCGTGAAAACAGCAATACTCTGATGAGGGATTGTGAGGCTGAGACATCGCCTATATATAATCCTCTCAGTACTGTTCTCGCCGAAGGGATTTTATTTAGTGTTTCGTTGTCGCTCTAATAGAAACTATGGTATGTTTCGTTGTGGCGAATCCGAGAGACTCATAAAATCCTATCTTTAGAAAAAAAAGGAAAGAAAAAAAAGAAAAATACTCCTGATGTCCATAGTTATTGCATTAACCAAGTTATTGCATTAACCAATAACTTGCCACATATCAAAAATTATCGACTTAGCCTGCATCAGATTGGCACATCTGGTTGGCTGAACGGAGGATAAACTAAGCAACGCTAATAGTCCCTAGAAACCTATGTTCGGTTGAGCCATCTCGCTACCGAAGTATTCAGATATAAATAGATTTGGAAAGTAAATATAGTTCTATTAATAGAACTAGACCAAATCTTATGTTTGGCAATTGACTCAGCACATATCTTCCATTGTTGACTCACTTGGCCCAAGCTTTAAACGGGAATTTACTGACCACTTCTTCCCATCAATCTTTCCTGAACCACTACAGCGACTATGAGAGCCATACCATATGTTCATACATTGTATCATACATACTTGCCATTTTTGAAAAAAAATAAAATATTATCCCTATGAGAGCCACACCATATGTTCATACATTGTATCATACATACTTGCCATTTTTGAAATAACTAATATTATCCCTATGTATGAAAATGATCAAGGCTACCCTGCGTAAAATGTAGCACTTGAAATACCTTGATACTGGCGTCGCCACTGGTACAAAACATGCGTATCATCGGCCTACCACCTCCGCCTCCCTCTAGACCTATAAGCTGACGAACTACGGTATCTGTGGTGACCACGCCTTTGAAATCGATCTCCAGATACTTTCAACGAATCAAATCCATCGGCCCCAACAAATGCCAACAATCTTATGGATATAACCGATACCGCCATCGACTGTATCGCCTACGCAACAAATCAGTCAAAGGAGTTTAACTATAGCTTTTGTAACTTTGTGAGGTTGGATCAAGTTAATAAACCAGAAAAACCCTTTTTAGTAAAAATATTACTGTTTATTATATTTGGGACACCAATATATATACTAATTCAAGAGGCATATATTTTGGATCTCCGTTGCTAGGTAAAATATATAGCCTCTGTTAGTGGTCTAAACCTAGTTGGACTTCGAGTCCTAAAACAAGTGGAAGAACTCTGGACAATCAAAGCCGAACTTCAACAGTCAACACGCCTCCGAATTCCGAAACTTCACTTTTCATTCTGGACAGAGTATTAGTTGCTATGTCTGTCCTTCACAGTCTCCTTTTTCTGCCTTCAGCAATCACTATTGAATAGTAGTAGCATATGAAGAGGCCGGTGATATAAATAATAGCTGCACAGAGAGTAATTTATTGCGCGGGAACGTTAGCGCGCAAACACAAATTCGTCGGATCTCGGGGTACATATGCTAATTTTTATAAAATTAAAATTAAAAGTGAAGAATTATCCTATTTTTACCAAAAAACAACAACAACAAAATTAACAAGCCTGCGCTGTCTCCACTCTCCAGAGTTCAGAGACCAGAGACCAGAGACCAGAGTCCTGAGTCCAGACTCCAACAGAGTCTCTGTCTTTAAGAGTGAAAGAGAAAGTCAGAGAGAACGAGAGAGATAACTTGTGAAGGAGAATACTCGGGTCACCGCCTCACCAGTCACCAACCTCATAACGTTTGGCGTCATGTGCATAAAGGTTGACTTTTCAACGTTAAACGGATTTTTTTTTTAGTGTTGCAACGTATTTTGGTATATTTTGACCTGGATATTAATATTGTGACCTGAATAGTACTTTGGTCTGAAATTTGATATCAGAATGTGTCTTCAGGACAAAATTCTGGTGTGTATATGCTTATTGCCCGACCTAGAATATGGCCTATCTAAAACGGTTGATTTCCAACGTTTAATGGATCATTTATTTGCGTTGCAACTTATAACGATAAATATAAGGTATAAGCTGTGAGAGAACGAGAGAAAAAATAAAATAAAATATTGTTTTGGGTTAGGCTTTTAAAAAAAACAAAAAAAAACTAAACGGATTTGCGTCAAGAAAAACGATGCACTATTTTTTTACGTTGCTATTTTTAAAATAAAACAAAACAAAACATATACATAATATGTATATGTATAATGTAGCGAGAGACTGAGACCGTGTAGTGTGGACTGTGGACTCTGGGTCTGAGAGTCTGTTGAGAGCGAGAGAGAGAGTGCGAGAGTAGAGACCGAGCCACCGAGTCAGAAAACACTTTAAAGGCGGAGAGACCGAGAGAGAGATTTATAAAAGGCCGAAGGAGTAAAAGGATAAAGTTTCGCCTGGTTTCGACTGGTAGGCGGGAGTGGTGGGTACCTAATATGGAACCATCTCAATGATCTCCAATGGTATTCTTGAGATTTTCGGGACATCATTGATTATGGAGAAAAACTGAAAAAAAAGGTTCCGTAGGATTTTATCATATGGTGTTGAATTTTATTCATTTCTGTTCCTATAAATTACCATATTTGGCGCTTTTCAATTTTATATTGTGCAAGACATAACCATCATTCGGTCGTGGCCTGCGTAAAAGTGTTGCAAGGTTTATAATATTGTGTGAAGCATGAATTTATGAACTGCGACACAAATGTGTTCATCCTTTTATTTTTATATTTAAATGCAGCGTGATTACAGATCAATCCGTCATATTTCATATCACAGACCCACATTGCACCCTAAGTAAATTTACATACAAAGTATCCCTAGTCACTATGGAGTCCAAAACAGAGATGTCGGCAGCTGATGACAATGACATTTACGATGATGACGGCATTAGCACCGGAGGAGAAGCACCCCCATTCAGAAATAATGGCCGCTACTGCTGGGGTGGCATGACCAAATGCGCTTTTATTGGCTTGTGCGTGTTTATAGGGTTCGCTGTCTTCATCGCTATCATGGTACCCGTTATTTTCATCAGTGTCGGAGCCAGTATGGCACAGTCTACAACCGATAACACAGTCGTAAGTTCAGTGCCCCAGATTTTCTTTTCGTTTTATTTTGCTTCGCTTCAATTGTCTTGCCTTTCGTCACATGCATTTGATCGCGATAGGACAATGGAGGGCGTTGTATTTCAACAAATGTTAAGTATGATGGGTCGCAGTATAGGAGAAGCGATCGTCCTATGACGTGTTGTTTTTGTACCACTTTTCGATTTATCTTTAGTAAAAAGTCTTCGATTAGCTCATTGTAGCTACTATTGTAATTGCTCATTGAAACTACTATTACAATTCAGATTACGATCACGAACTCCTCATTGACCTACTGGGGCCAGAACTACAAGACTAGCTGTAGTCCTAAAGGTGATTGTGGGGCACGACTTGCGGAAGATGATGAAGGCAACTCCACGTGCAACATCATTGCAACTCCAGTGTGTAACGCTGTACCCACTACTATCCCCAATCTGATGGTTCTCAATCAGACTCTAAAGTTTAGTAACGTTGCTATCCCCGGTGTCCTTCAAGCCGGACGTTACGATATGCTTTACACCAATGAGAACACTGGTGATCCCGATAACTACCCATCATCTGACGGGTTGATCCTCATTGGCGACTTGTATGTACCCGAGCTTGATTTGCACGGCCTTGAGAACAACGAGGTCACAATCCCGGACGTTGAGGTTATTTTGCGTGTGCGTAACCCAGAATTCTTTTCCAGTATGTCTGCCTTGGCTTCTGCTCCTGGTATGAAAGGAATTTGGAACCAGCAGGCCGGAAGCGCCATTGTGGAGGCCAATATATTAGGCACCAAGATGTACTACAAGGCCAGCATGGCTTCTTGGATCTACAACAAGAATCTAAACCAATGTGATGGTCCCATGGCGTTGCTCCCTCCTTTCTCAAGTAAATGCCCATGCAAGAACGATTGCATCGATATGGCGGCTGGACATTAAAGTATATAGTATGATTTGATGTGTGGACTATGGTATGTACATCCATATAGACGCTTCTGCGACTATTCCTTAGACCAACATAAGTCGGTAAGAAAATAAAGTATATATTTAGAAGCATGGCCGAGAAGGAGTAGAAATTTCAAAGTCATAGAGGATCAGGGACTCAGGGTGAGACAGTCGTCAGTCTGGCCCTGGAGCTGCTGTACACTAAAAAACAAAAATAAAAACAAAATTCATACCATAGCTCTCTAAATTATACATTTATACCCATTTTGAATTTTGGTAGGCTAAAAAAAATAAAATCCGAATTACATACATATGTCGCAGTGAAGCCGACAAGAAATTTTCGATCAGAAGAAGGAAGCGAAATTGAAAAGAGAGACACATGCAAGTCTGATGCAGATGATTGAAATAGATATTCATAGGCAAAACCGTATGCCCAATTGCGCATTGCTTCACATCTAGTGTCCGGTGTCCGAGACTAGTTACTATCATTTTCTCAGTTTTTCACACACGTATTTGATATGTCTTCCGCAGTGCTTACTTCATATCGCAATATTTTAAGAGCCAGCGGTGCAACATTCACGGGCGATGCTGAACTCTTGAAAGGTTGGTACGAATATGTCTTGGTAGATTCTTAATATGAAAATCCTGTTCACAGCATGAGCAGACTGAAACTACGTCGCCATCTATAGTAGTATTGCGATGTCAAACAATATAAGCGTTCACAAACGATGACAGAACCTAATCATTGAAACGCAGTCGAACAGACAGTTGTATGCATATACGGATAGTATACCCACACTCTCCATGGTCTGTGCCTGCTCCTATTTGATTTATTTGGAAAAAAAAACACGCATGTCTTAACATAAAATCTAAATATACCTACACCTACACACACACAGGTTTACGCACACACACACACTCACGCGCATACACACACACACACACACACACACGTAGTAAAACACACACACACACACAATATACACAGACACAGACACACACTCTCTCACACAAACATACACAGACACACACACTCACACACACACAAACATACACAGACGCACATACTCACACATACATGCATACATACAACACACGCACACAAACATAAAACATAGGCACACACACGCACACACACACACGTATACACACACACTCACGTGCACACACACACACACACACACACACACACACACACACAATATATATATATATATATATATATATATATATATATATATGCAAACATATTATATGTGTATGTATATATATATATGTATGCATATACATATATGTATGTATATATATATATATTTATTTATATATATATATATACATATATTATGTGTCTATGTATGAATGTATATATGTATGGATGTATGTATGTAAGTATATATGTATGTATGTATGTATGGATGTATGTATAGATGTATGTATGTATGTATGTGTATGTGTGTGTGTATGTATGTATGTATGCATGCATGCATGTATGTATGTATGTTTGTATACGTGTGTGTGTTTGTTTGTTTTTATGCATCCATTTATGTATGTATGTATATATGTATGTATGTATGTATGTATTTTTGTATGTATGTATGTATGTATGTATGTATGTATGTATGTGTGTGTGTACGTACGTACGTATGTATGTATGTATGTATATATGTATGTATGTATGTGTGTATGTATTTGTGTATGTATGTATTTATGTATGTATGTATGTATGTAAGTATGCATTTCATGTATTTATGTACGTATGTATGTAATTATGCATCTATTTATGTATGTGTATGTATTTAAGTATGTATGTATTTATGTATGTATGTATGTTTGATGTATTTATTTGTATGTATTTGTGGATGTATGTATGTATTTATACGTGTATAATAATATATGTATGTATATATATATATATGTGTTTGTATATGTATGTACACACACGCACACACACGCACACGCTCAGATACACAAACACACACACAAACACTTACCTACATATATACATACCTACCTACCTACATACATACATACATACATACGAACATAAATGCATATTTCTGTATTTTGAGTTCATGTTAGTTTTCACTTTCATGTTCTTTCATTTGTCTTGTTTCTCCTTCTATACCGAATATTGTTTATGGGGCGTTTTTTTTTTGCTAAGCACCTGCGAGCCTAGCGAGCGGTGACCCTCGGCCATCCAATTGCACTATTGATAAACTTATATGGGCTGTCCTGATAGATTACCTTATTGTAGCCACGTGTATTTCTTTGTCTCATGTAACGAGCTCATAAAGTATGGATGGAGCATACTGATTCATATTTAGGCGTATGTCTACTTATATGACACACCCAGTTTATGTGTTTCATGATTTAGACTGCGTAAATTCATATTGGGATGATTATTTTAAAGACTATTTTGGCCGATGGTCAAAGAGACATTTACTTTGGCTATTCGTAGAAGGACTGGAATGGTTACAGCCCGCTGATACCTTGAAGTGTCGAACGAAATGTTGCAACATAATTACGACCTGAGCAATCAACGACATGGTTTCTTCTCAATCGAGTCTTCCGAGTGTCACGAATGCGCATTCTGACGCGAGAGTTCTTGTTGACTGATATGTGGCTGAGCAGTTAATGCGTGCTAACCATCGGAATGCATCTTATGCACCTTAAACCACACACAGCGTTTCGACAAGAGATCCGGGGACATTTTGAGAAAAACCGTAACGAGACCGACGAGAAGAAATTAAAGAAGGTTGGTGCTACAATGGCCGACTTGTCGTTAGTGCTATAGAGTTTGGTTCGCTGATGGTCGCGCCTAATGTTGCATCGTAGTTAGCAATCTCGTTAAGATATGGTTCATTTGTCCCCGTCGTTCACAATCTAAGTTCGGTTGTGTGTGCTGGAAGAGGTCTCGTATACTAGTCGCTGCTCTGACTACACTAAGATTAATTTGTTCGTGCCGAACTTCTGTTTTTTAAATTTGACTTTCGTTGCGATTGATGGGCGTTTAACCTTCGCATCGCTATATGTGGATATTTCGAAGAGTACTAACAATGTTCAAAACGACCGTTTCTTTTCCTAACAGATGCTGAAGCAGAGCGTGGACTTGGAAAAGATGGTTCGAATGAATCTGGTGCAAGGCAAACAGACCGGGGTGGACAACACGATAGGTCAGTTGTGCTGCTGGAACGTGCATGATATCATCACTTGCCTTATATGACATATTCGATGGTTCAATAGCAACCGTGTGGTAGATCTATTCACATGTCAAGCCAATTCGGCCCAGATTAAGAGTATCTGCTCATGATAGGAGAATCCTGATTTCGTTCCCTGGTGTTAATATTCTCACGTCGTCGCGGAGTAGGACGTGATGCATTGTGGGAATTGGCAGTGGGTTGTTTGCGCTGCCCTTGTTGCGTGTCAACAATACCTTCGTTTGAAGCCTACACGTAATGTGACTGTATAATCATCTGAACAGCCCCGTTCATACTGTAGTTCTGTAATATCCAACTCAAATCTAAGTGTGCACGTGTGAATTTCGAGCCGTATTTATATCCATGTACACAACCGTTGCCACACAGCTGTCAATCTTAGCAGTTACTGATTAAGGCTTACTTCACTCAATTACAGAAGTTCGTACTACGGGGGATACGGAAATGACGGATATGAAGAAGAGTCGATGTAAATAAACTTACATGCAAAAAGCAAATAAACTTAAATGCAAAAAGGCACAACAGCAATCGGCCTCGTCAAATACTCGACGCTGACTTTAGAGGTTTAGCCCATTGGGTTCAGTCAGTTTGTGAAAGAAGAAGTCGCCAATCAATCAACGTGGAAAATGATGACATCATATCCTAATCTCGTCGCACGTAGTATTCACACACTGCTATAACAAAATAATCACACGCTATTACAATATAGTAGTCACACGCTGCTATCTATAATATAGTAATCAGACGCTCTTATTATAATATAGAAGTCAAACGCTGCTATAATATAGTAATCAGACGCTCTTATTTTAATATAGTAGTCAAACGCTGCTATAGTATAGTAATCAGACGCTCTTATTATAATATAGTAGCCAGACGCTCTTATTATAATATAGAAGTCAAACGCTGCTTTAATATAGTAATCAGACGTTCTTATGATATAGAAGTCAAATGCTGCTGTAATATAGTAATCAGACGCTCTTATTATAATATAGTAGTCACACGCTGCTATAATATAGTAATCAGACGCTCTTGTTTTAATATAGTGGTCAAACGCTGCTATAATATAGTAATCAGACGCTTCTATTATAGTATAGTAGTCAAACGCTGCTATAATATAATAATCAGACGCTCTTATTTTGATATAGCAGTCAAATGCTACTATAATATATTATTCAGACGTTTTTATTAGTAATCAGGCGCTTTTACGCTGCTACAATATAGTAATCATACGTTCTTATTATAATAAAGTAATCACACGCTGCTATAATATAGTAATCAGACGCTCTTATTATAACAAAGTAATCACACGCTGCTACAATATCGTAATCAAACGCTTCTATTATAATATAGCAATCACACACTGCTATAATATAGTAACCAGACGCTCTTACTATAATATAGTAATCACACGCTGCTATGATGTAGTAATCAGACGCTCTTATTTTAATATAGTAGTCAAATACTACTATAATATAGTAATCAGACGTTCTTATTAGTAATCAGGCGCTTTTACGCTGCTACAATATAGTAATCATACGCTCTTATTATAGTAAAGTAATCACACGCTGCTATAATATAGTAATCAGACGCTCTTATTATAACAAAGTAATCACACGTTGCTATAATATAGTAATCAGACGCTCTTATTATAACAAAGTAATCACACGCTGCTACAATATCGTAATCAGATGCTTCTATTATAATATAGCAATCACACGCTGCTATAATATAGTAACCAGACGCTGCTATAAAAAAGTAACCAGACGCTCTTACTATAATATAGTAATCACACGCTGCTACAACATAGTGATCAGATGCTCCTTCAATATTACAAAGTAATCACACGCTGTTAAAATATAGTAATCAGACGCTTTTAGTATAATATAGTAATCATACGTTGCTATAGTGTAGCAATCAGACAGTAAAGTAATCACTCGCTGCTACAATATAGTAAACAGACGCTTCTATTATACTAAAGTAATCAGACGCTGCTATAATATAGTAAACAGACGCTTTTACTATAATTAAGTAATCACACGTTGCTATAATATAGTAATCAGACGCTCTTATTATAATAAAGTAATTACATGCTGCTATATTATAGCATTCAAACGTTTTTACTACAATAAAGTAATCACACGCTGCTATACTATAGTAAACAGACGCTTTTATTATATCAAAGCAATCACACGCTGCTACAATATAGTAATCATACGCTCTTATTATAATAAAGTAATCGCACGCTGTTATAATATAGTAATCAGACGCTCTTATTATGTTAAGGTAATCACACGCTGCTACAATATAGTAATCAGACGCATCTATTATAATATAGCAATCAAACGCTGCTATAATATAGTAGCCAGACGCTCTTATTATAATATAGTAATCACACGCTGCTATAATATAGTGATTAACACTCTCTTATAACAGAGATTACACGCTTCTACAACAGTAATAGATGAGAGCTTTCCAACATTAGCGTTCAACATTTCCGACACAAGAACATGAGTTCTAGAATACAAAAGGTTATGCCCTAAAACTGATTCGAGTGGCATAATTTGTGTTGTCTGTTAAGATCCATCCAACACCACAGAAGTGGCTCAATAGTTTTTCAATTTATAGTCGGTGACGAACCTCGCATATGCACTCAGCAACGTTCCCGCATACATAATTATTCTTTATTCAAAATATTATCCTTCATTGATATCATGCTCTCTCCATTTTATCCTTTATTCAAATCATATTCATCTATATTCCAAACATTATCTTTTATCCAAAACATACTCTATTGAGGTTGTTTGTATAAGCTAGTCACTGCGTCTACTCTTGTGCAAGTGAACGCCGGTCAGCGTTTGCTGCCAGTGCTTGACAACCATTTGACACCAAGACGTTCTCCAACGACAAGAACACAGAGCTACACTGACACTGCACAGCACTCTCAGCCAAGCACTTTGAAATCTCTTCAGCACAACAACAGTTCAACCAGCAACGGGACAACGTTTACTCAAAAACACGTGTACTAGTTGAACACCATGGATTGCGCACAGAACGAAAACCAGCCACATTCGGATAGAACTTTTATATACAGAATTATCGAGCCCTGCAAGTATACACGGGCGACTATGTCTTATGTCTATGTCCAGCCAGGCATTGCGTACACATCTAGGTCCACGCACACCGCAAACTGCAAATCGTAATCTCGAGCCACTGATGATTATTACTAAGCTTGGTTGCGTTGCTGACTATCTGTTGTTGACGGGTACGTTGGCCTTCTCCATGAAGGATCGCTTCAATTCCGGTGTGAACTGGCTGTTGATGACGTATACAGATCCTGTGATGGAGTGATGAACCGAATGCCAAAAGAGGTCAATATATGGGTCAACTATTGAAGCTAGGGCGGTATCGTTTCTGCGTTTGGGAAGCACACCGGCGTGTAAAGTAGTCCAGGAGGCCCACCATAGAACAAAGCCACCTCACAATGGTTGTTACCACGCTTGCCGTCGCAATGGACGAAGTTGCATACCTACGTCTTGCACTGAGCCGCATATCTCTCGGTAATGTGCCCTCCCACCCCCACGCCAGACGTACATACAAACAATGAACAGAAACGGTTGGTGATAGTGAATGTGTCGCGGTTAAAATTCTAAAACTCGAAGGCGCCGTATGTAATGTAAGGAAGCGCATCTGCACCACTGAAGAGTTTCATTGTGGCAGGCATGAGCTTCGCACTATTAAGCCAAACACTTCTTGCGTGTCTGATACGATAGATGTAGCAAGGCGTTGTACTGGCAAAATGTAGCAATGCTCTTATTTACAAGGTTCGTCTTGTCAGCGTATGTGTTCTAATTATAAAAGTTGATATATATATATATATATGTTATCTTTAGTATAACCCTCAATTGTGAGTAAATTTCTGACGGTTTGTAAAATTTCGCTACGACTTTCACACCTAGTACATACAAAATTGCTTCAATAAGTCCGGTTCAATACATATAAGTGCATTCCTCGAAAAATAACATGACGCTATTATACATATAATCAAAGGACGATACAACACTGTCCATGGCGCCAACTAACACTCCCTTCTGTATAGTCGAGGGACCAAATATCATTGACTTGCTATAGACGATAACCAATAAGTCAGTGCGGTTCACTCTAGCACATACGCTGTCTAGTAGCAAATGCATGATGTAGTCTGATAGAAGCCGACAGTCAAAGGTAATATACATGAGCAGAAATACTTGTCGAAGATTCTAATTACATATACAACGCATATATCCACAAGGCCCCTCCAGAGTAATCATGAAGGTAATATACGTGTACAGAAATACTCGACCGAAGAATCGAAATGAAACGCATGTGGTACAAATATGTCTGTACTATACCTATGGATTAGATAAACCCTATTACAGGTATATAAACTCTAATACTGGCAGATAGACCCTATTACTAGTAGATCAAGCCCATTACTGGTAGATAAATTCCGTTACTGGCAGATAAAACCCCATTGGTAGATAAACACTCTGGTATATCAACCCCATTCCTGGTAAATAAACCCCAGTACAGGTACATAAGCCCCAATACTGACAGATAAACCCCAGTACTAGTAAATAACCCCCATTGGTAGATAAACCCTATGGCTGGTATATCAACCCCATTACTGGTCGATCGGCCCCAATACTGATAGATAAACCCTATTGCGGGTAAATAAACCCCACTACTGGTAGATAAACCTTATTACTGGTTGAGTGTCTAATGAGTATTTCTCATGTGCAGCAGAAAAGGCCGTTTCACATTAGTGGACGATAATCTCATAGTCCTCACAGGTACAGTGCAGGTGCATACATCCAAATAACTAAGCACCAGGACACACACTACGACCGAGACTGAGACAGCAAGACCATGCACGTGCAATTCTGATCATGGTGCATATGCGCAACTCTTGCTGAGATAAGTTGCGTCCATGCGATGAGCACAGGAGGACTATTTTCTGCTGTAGGCGTCGATGGTTTGTGTATAGGAGATGTTGTGTGTGGGCGTGCGCAATATATCAACAAGCTGTGTTCTTAGTAAGTGCCTGGACCTCTAAGTCGCATACGTGTGGGCGCATTGCCATAACTTATGAACGATACATATATGAGCAGTCCATGTTCCCTATTGACGAATGTGAGATGTTTGAGCAGCTCATGTTACCTACTGATGAATATGAGATGTTTAGGAAAGATACGTATTCAACCTCACTTGCGGGCGGGCTGGGATATGCACTGATTCAACTCTACTGGAAGTGGGATGGCACGCCACACCGCGTAATTTGAGACACAATGATTGGAAGCGATGGAATGTCTCGAAGACATCCACACACGCCACAGTTTAAGACAATAAAAAATATCTTCCCACGACATAAGGTAGAAAGAGTGGTGCGAACACAAGCAATCAATTAATCAAGCAAAATGCCATACATACGCTTGTGTGACATTGAGAAATAAACGTAACAATTATCTACCGCCGACTATCGCCACCACAGCTTCAAACCCCTTTCAATTGTCGACACAGACGACACTAAATAAGGCTACGTTGCACAGAAATCACAGATAAGAACACACACACCATCTGAATAAAACTTCGTTGCAAAGAAATCACAGACAAGTACACACATACCATCTGAATAAAACTACGTTGCAAAGAAATCACAGACAAGTACACACATACCGTCTTTCAGCTTCACGCCCAGAAAGTTCTTGCGACTGCGCTTATCCAGAGGTGTGCTCAGCGTATCCTTGTGTACGTGGTCGACCATTTGGATATCCTTCCACTTGAAATGGTGCAATATACTTTGCCGGTCATGCGACACAATGATAATGCCCGTGCTGTCACCACATATCTTGATGGCTGTCCGCCACCCAATCTTAACGGAATACTTGCCCTTGACGCTCCTCTTCGTGTGCACTCCATCCAGTGTGAAACCCCTGTAGCCCGTATGAAACGTACACTCGCGCACCAACCGGTCCATGTCGGACTTTGTGAGGCCGCTTACATCATCCAGCTCTTTGGACACGGGCTCGTCCTTGGTCATGGGTTCACTTCTCTTGCGCTCGAGTTTTGTGTCATCCTCTTTGATGGTGCCGACCTTCGGCTTCATTTGTTGAGCCAGTGCAGGCGCGAACGGGTCCGCGTCACGGTTTTGAGGTGTGCCTGAGAGGTTACCAGCTGAAGGGGTTGGCGTGAAGGGGTCAGGGAAGTCCTCCGTGATAGGCTGGTTGTTGAACTGTATGCCTCTATTTGTCGATGACGCAGGGTTGTGGTTGTACTGCAGTCCACTGTTTTGTGCAGATGCTGGTGTGTGGGATGTGCTTCCGAACGGGTCAGCCGATGGTTGTTGCTGGTTGTTTCCCTGTCCTGCAAAGGATGCGAATGGATCGTTGTTTTGTGCAGCAGGTGCCTGCTGGGTACTGGGCACTTCCATAAGGGGATCGAAGGAGACCGGCATAGCAGCATTGGACATCGAGTCTCGGCCCGTTTTCATGGCAGCAAGTGACTTCATGAGCTGATCCATAGAATTAGTACCCGCCTGTGGCGGGGGCTGTTGTTGCATGCCCATGCCCATGTTCATATTGGGCTGTTGTTGTTGCCCCTGGTTACCAAAGGGAGCGTATGGACCCGGTTGCTGTGTTGCGCCCATATTGGGCATGAATAGAGATCCTCTGTGTTCATGGTCGAGCGAACCCACAATCATATCGCCTTTAGCGTGCGTCGTGTTGATAAGCTGCTGATCGTGCACATAACTGGGTCTGTGTTGGTATCCCTGCGTCTGCCCCTGAGGCTGCGTCTGATTTTGGTACGTGTTCATGCCGTTGGCAGGACTCCCGTATTGAGGGGACGCATAGCTATTCTGAGGTACTTGATAGGGGTTGCCCTGACCCATAAAGCCCTGTCCGGGAATACTCTGGGCTTGAGTGTGTTCAATCTGCCTTTGCTGCTGACTAGCGCCGAATTGGGGCTGTTGTTGCTGTTGCTGTGCACCAAGCCCACTCACAGGCAAGTCATCGCCAAACGGATTGTTACTCATCGCTGCAAGTCTAAATAAGATTATTTTCCGTCTCTGACGTTTGTGTCTTTAGATAAGAATATAGGGATATGGCTACTCTGGGTTCGTTGACCACTGCACAGTGCACGTGGTGCTTACAGAAATGAATTATGTACAATTAAACCCGTGTGATTCTCTTACAGTAAATATGCGATGTAAGTCCGTCCTTTTGCTCCACTCGCAGTATTTTTTTTTGATCAGCGTGTAATGTACAAATAGTCAAATACGGATCATATTCTTAGAGCGAAATATAGAGAGATGTAACAGAGAATATGTATATATAATTTGTATCATAAAAGCTATTTCACTATTGATGAATCCTCTATCAGAAATAACAGCGCGTCTCAAACGGACTCATTTTAGGACTCACACCATACCGGACGTACACTCATAGTCTCATTCAGCAAATAAATAAGTATGTAGTCTCGACTCTCGAGCATACAGGCACTCAAAAGTCAGTAGTGTATTTACTATTCACTCGAGAGAGAGAGAGAGAGAGAGAGAGCCGCCACCGTGACTCTCGTTCCGGCCTTCCGGATTACTATTAGAGATTTCCGGCCCGAGTCCTCCAATTTGGTAATTTTTCATTTATTTTTATTTTTTTACTGTAACTTTTTACCGCTACAATGTTTAAAAACGTAATTACGTTTTCGCCAATTCATATCCCACACGCCCCTCAAAGTGTGGACTGAGGACGGTGGCGTGTGTTAGTGTGTGGACTGCGGACTGTGGCCTGTCGTTCGGCGTTCCGCACGACGATATCGGATATGATTTGCCTTGAATTCTGTAAAAAACGTAAAATGTAGGAGGAATTTTTACTACGCTCTCCAATTCGTCTCTAGAGTGAATAACTGTGGCAAATACCAAATATAGAGCTGTCATAGGCTTATTTTATATGTTCTAAGAAATACTACTAGATTTTTTATCGCATGTCTGCCCATGTCATGCCCTTTTTTAACTTCTTCCAATGCCGGTATGTATTTAGTTGTACTCATCGGCTGGCTCTGTTGGGTTCCAGCTTGCCAGGGTTTGTTTTAAAAATATCACTTTTGCTTTATGTATACAGTATGTATAATAAAATTTTGTAAAAGAGATCGGTTTCGGCGTTATTATGACATCAATTAAACACTCGATACATGTATACCTTTGTTCTTTAAAAATGTGAGCTACTCCGCTCGAGACTTCAAACTCAAAGGCGTATATAGACGCCGCTGAGAAATACGAAATTATATGTTCAATAATAGATGATATTTGGGTTCAATAATAGATGATATATGGTTGGGTACTATAATAGATATATGGTTGGGTACTATAATAGATATATGGTTGGGTACTATAATAGATATATGGTTGGGTTCAATAATAGATGATATATAGTTGAGATGAGTTCGATATTTGAGAAGCTGAGTCCAAACGCCAATTCACCAAGTGCGCAACCTGAGTACTATTCGCAATAGCCTTGATATTTGTTTTGGACGCGTCGACATTGCTACGGAAGTAGAATATGCCTCTGAGATTCTATTGATATGTGAATATATATTACACACATGTATGTACACTTCTACGCATACATGTAGACACACCCACACCCACACCCGCACCCACACCCACACCCACACCTGCACCCACACCCACACCCACATCTGCCACACCCACATCGACCCACTACACACCCACACACAAAGCGCATACGTACACACATAAAAACACACAAGCGCGCGCACACACACACACACACATCGACACACACACACACACACACACACAC